CTTATGGAAATTAATTGTATTCAATACTTACTGATTAATATTCAGAATTTTCTATTTCATTGTTAACTGATACACGCTCTGTAAAGTGTTCCTTCACCTTTGCCAAATGCTCGATGGTATCATTTCATATTTCAGTATAAAGAGGATACAATGCCTACTTTTATTTCCTCCTTGTTACTCTAATTATAGTGTAGTTTTCCAGGCAATCTGAAGATATCTTCTGGTACCAGTAATATTTTTTGATTTAGAGAAGTTTCTGAATTAATCCTGTGGCTCTTTGGAGCATGAAAATCTGTGAAGTTCTGCCTAAACTCTATTGTACTATGGGACTTTGCAAATCAGAGTACTGAGTTTTGTTGCGTGCATTAATTTAAGGAATGGGTGGGTTTTAATTCTGTTTTGAAGTTGGCTTTGTCAATCATAAGGTACATTATTCTTGCAGGAGTTTGCTTTTCTGGTCTGACTGTGCTATCTCGTGTCAACCTAATCACTTTGTAATGCAACACTGTAAATAGCAACATAGTACAGGTTACTTACAGAAGAAAGGTTTCATTATGGTTTAATCTTAAAGTTGGAAGAGTAGTATGGGGACTGCCTGTAGTCTTAACTGTGTCTTTTTTGGGGCATGAAGATTTGATCCTTAGGGCATTCCAGATTTCTGCAGAACAAATAATGATTAAACAAATTCTGTCCATTATCATTTGGCCTGGAAAGCACCTTCCTTTCTGTTGTGAACAATACAGCTATTGCCTTGGAGAGACAATTAAAAGGTTGATTAAGAGACAAAAAAAAGGTTGATTAACCTTTGCGGCCCCAAGGACTTTGGGTACCTCGTGTGTGCGTGTGTGCGTGTGTGTGTGTGTAAGCTAAAACCCATTACCTGTCTACCCGGTAAGTCTGATAGGACTTACTAGCTCTAGAAAAGGGCATTTCAGCTGCATTACCAAACATAGTTTTAAGGCTTTCTTTGCCTGAGAAACTTCACACTAGCAAAAACAAGAATTACCATGTAATGATGCAGTTTAATTCAGTTGTTCTCGATTTGAAGGCTGGATGTTGTCCAAACAAAAAAAGGTCATTGAGCAGGCTACTATAAACTGTTTAATGTATTAAACTACCAACATCAAAAAATGGATAAATTCTAAAGGCTGTGGTGTAGACAAGGTATTATAAATTAGTATTTGCATATTGTACTTGTATTTGACACAATTTTGTTCAGTATAGCGGAAGAATAACTATTATCACTAGGAAGAAAAACTGATGTGGTTTTGAGGGGATGTTTGTTAGGTTTTACTTCACTGGTAATCTATTTCATAATCAAAAAGAAAGAGTAGCAATTTGATATGAGTTTTGGGGTATATACTGGTTTGGGTTTTAAAATCCATCCTCTTCTAGCCTGAAAATTTTTTGCATTCCCCAGGGGAGGAACATGCAAAACTTGCTACAGTAGGCTCACAAATTGTCTGCTCCACCTTCATGAGGGGAAAGACCTGTCATCAACATTTGAAGTATACTCTTTTTTAATTGGTTTTGCTCTAGCACTGCTGTGTTCAAGAAGATTGAATCTACGTTCTTACTCTTGGAGGGTAAAATAAGTGCCACAAGAAACAGAACTAATTCTTACTACAGTAGTTACAACTTGTAGAGGAATTGTTTTAAACTGTGGTGGAGTAATCAGGCCTCAGTTAATGGTCTGAGTAACAGCAGTGTGGATTTTGATTTGGAGAATTGTGCCTTGCCCCACAGCTATAAATACATGTGGAGGAAGTGGGCTTTTCCTCACAGATATGACGAAATGGGTAAGAGTAGTAGGAGGAATCATATCTTATATATAACATTAATAAAATTAAAAATCTGGCTCTTAATCACCTTGTTTAAGTTGCCTTTTTGTTCCTGAATTTCCCTATTTAAAAAGAGGAGCCAATGATACTTACACTTCTTTTTTTATGAACCCCTTGGTCATGTGCAGACAGAAAGCTCCATGTGGGAGTGGAGTGTATCACTGAATAAGGGGATTTTTGTGTGAGACTGGGATGTTGACTGGTTGCAGTGACTCATTCATTAAAATTACTCTGGTATAGGATTTTTGTTTCTGTAAACTGAATGTACATACCTGCTATGTGTGTAGAAACAATTTAAACGGGCAAAGAGAACACCACTTGCACAGCTCCTAAATCTACAAAGTGTTCAACTATCGAGATTATACTGAGTCAGATCCTGTTTTCTTCCTTATAAGAACAATATTTCAAAACTTATGTTTTTTTTTCCTAGAAACAGCCCAAGGGAAGAGTCGTGCACTTCTTTACAATTAACGTGACAGCTGAATTTGGGTAAAGCTATTCTATTTTCCTCTTTGCAACTTCCTGAATTCCTTTGTGACATTGCTGAAGGGATATATGTTCCTCTTCCCCTTCTTAGTCTCACTAAATATACCCTTGTGGCTTAGAATAATGTGAATTTTTCAGTCCTAGGCTGGTCTGTGGATTCTGATATCCTGCATACCAACATTCCCACTTCATTGGCCCAACTTAGTTCCTGTGATTTTTCATGAAATATGGCCTGTGGACTAATCATCCTCTGCAGCAGCTGTTAAGTAAAAGTTACGTTAGTTTAACAACGGAAACAAGGGGTTTTTCCTCCAGAGAAAAGCTACCTACTGATTGGCGGTCTAAAAAATCTTTCTGTCACAGAACATCTTTCTCAGCATTGATTTTTCTGCTTCCATTCTAAGTCACTAGGGGAGCTGCTCAGTTCCATGGGATTAAATTGATCATTGTCGGACTATTCCTGAAGCAACTGCTGAGAATTTCCTTGGTGTTTAGTTTGTATTGCTGATGTGTTTAGGAGCCTTGATTATAAAGCCTGTTGTGGTAGATAATGTGTAGGGATAATACATGGGGGCAGAGAACAGGAGTAGAAGTAACATCACTCCTTGGATGCAGTTCCAGACAGCGCTGCTATAGAGTTATTTCTGCATAAACATAAAGTGAGCATTGCTGGCCAGTTCACTACAACTTTAAACTGTCAAACTGTACTTTGACACTCTGTACCTTAACGATATTTTGGAAATGTCAGGAACCCTACTCTTCAGACACTTCTCATACCTCTGCGTACCTGGGCAAAATAGAAAGTCACATATTTAAACAACAGAATAAAAGTTCTGTTTTGATTCTAACTGTAACTGACCTAAATGTGGTAACTTGTGTGTTTGGTTTTGTTTGGTAGATCTGCCTTTTTTCTTTTTTTTTTTTTTTTTTTTTTTTTTTTTTTGGTCTGGATAACTGGAAGAAAGTGTCTTATACACTGTTAGCATGGGCAGTATTGCTAATTGTTGATTATGTAGGAGGCCCAAAGTGCATTTCTGTAATGTTGCATGTGTTCAAAATATATTTCCAGTAAACACTAGTTGAGGCTTTGTGTGATTAGTATTTCTGTTGATGTAATCTTCAGGTGTCATATAATAAGTACCTGAATAAAACTACCTGTATGTCCTCCTCCTATCCATGAACATTTTGTTAAAATTACTTGTGATGTTCAAATTCTGGTAAAGGCAGGAAAATGTTTAGTTTTGTGAGCTTCTGGTTAAGTTAACTCTATTTATTCAGCATCCCTTGCTGCCCCCAGAGTCTGTAGCAGTGATGCAGATCAACAATCCTTACAGTTCAGCTCTTGATTAATCCTAATATGTTTAAATAAATAATAAATATAAAACTATTTCCATCCCTATTATGCTTTAAGTGATGTAATAGTGTTACAGTGAATGCAGTAGGTGAACACTGCAAGAGACCTTTGCCTATACTGCTGTGCAAAAGAAGATCAAATCTGGGCTTAGTGGGCTTGTTTTGTATGCCTGGCTCTGTAACCCTCAGCCTACTCATACTGCTTTGAACCTGGTGATAACCTCTGTGTTTCAAAGAAATGTCATTTATAAAAAACTAACCACAATAGGATTCTAAGAAAATGGTTGTAACCAATAAAAAATTGAGGGAGAGGAAAACTTCTTGGATTTTCTGAATATATATTTGTTGTTTAGAACTTTCTTAAAGTTCCCTCATTCAATGTAGAAACATTGGCAATCTGTTTGGGGATATCAGCATTTTTTTTTTATTTCATACCTATGAGTTCAACCTACTTTGTGAGCAGTATTTTAAAAGGAGGCTTTACTATGCCATTCACTGCTCTTCAGGGAAATGTGACATTTATCTTCTGTTCTTACAGTCATTTCCTTTGTCTTCCCTGCCAGCTAGACTGGAAGAGGGAAAGGAGAGCAAGAACTCTGACTACTGCTAGTTTGTAGATAGCTTTTGAGCTGTGGACGTATTAACCTTATCTCATGTGTAGCTTCTTACTCAATTTAAAGTCCTATTGGCAGTTTTAAAATGTTACCAGCAGTGCTGTATATTTTGAATTTCATTTGTAGCACAGCATCTGCTTGGTTTGGGTACTTGGACTTGCATTTTATTTGTGGACATGCACCTAATCTGATTTGAAACCTATACTGTGAATCACTGTATACAGAAAATGTTAAATAACGTTTATTCACTGCAAGGAAAATATGAAATTGAGCTGTTGTCATCCAATAAAACTCGGTTTTGTACAGCACATTTCATGCAAATTATATTTGAATGCTTCAAAGTAAATAATACTGAAGGGGTAAAGAGGCATTTTCAGTAAACATAGCAAGGAGAAAGTATTTCTCTTTTTACAGAAATTAGGTAGTCAGAAGAAAGATTACAGAAAGGTGTTTGTGTTTGAACTAGGCTGACAGCATGCAGTGCTCTTTCCTATATATCACAAGATAAGTAAAAAAGATAGGTAACAAACTGGGACAAAACAAAACCAGTGATCTGAGTAGAACCAAATCTGCACTGCTGTTCCAATGTTTCTGGTCGGAAATAAAATTTGTTCTTGACTGGAAAGGAAGGTCTTGGAATATTTTGAAGTAACACATCTTTTTGTCATCTTGCAGAGCATTTCTGTGTAGCACTTGACTAGCTACTATGAGCTTGCTGTATAGTGATAACAGTTGTGGAGCCCGAGACTTGGAAAGTGGCTGCTTTGCAGCCATGGCCAGTGCCTGCAGCGTTGGAGCAAAAGAAGACAGTGTAAGTGTCAGCAGTGGGACTGGAAACCCTCCAAGTTCTTTCACAGAGGAAACACAAGGATATGATGTGGAGTTTGATCCGCCCTTGGAAAGTAAATATGAATGTCCAATCTGTTTGATGGCTCTTCGGGAAGCAGTGCAGACACCATGTGGACACCGCTTCTGCAAAGGCTGCATTGTCAAATCAATAAGGTAAAGGAAAATTTATGGAAGTTGCTTTTACAAAGAAATTCACTTACCAAAGCAGAGCAGTTTAAGGGCAATGTAAACTGAACAGAACTGCTTAAGGTGCATCACCACTGAGTGCTAACAGAACTCTAGGAATTTACAATTCTTAAAGATGCTTTCTAATAAACACCATGGATGGCTAAAATGTCATGAGTTTGCACGTTGCATGAGCTTTAGATATTTTGCCATTTATACAAATTTACCCAGGTTACGAATCTAAAAATTTGACTGAGTAAACATTAAATAATAATTTTTTAAAAGTAGCCAAATCCTCCAAATAAATTCCATTTTCAGCCCAGGATGAAAACCTGTCTTTTCCCTATGATTGTTTCTCTTGATAACTACAGGCAACTACAGACAACATGGTTTCTTGGTGCAGATTCATGCTTTCAGTTCTTCACTTGAAATCAGCTGCTGCTTTGTTGAGCTGGAAGAAAGAATGTAATGAGGGAATAGTCTCGAACAAAGCGTTAAGAGAGGAAACTAAGTGGCATATGGGGGAGTGGGAATGAGATATGAAGGCAAGAACAGGCTGGGCTCATAAAAATGAATGATTGAAAGAGCAAGGAAGGGCAGAAAGTACACTGGTAGAGTGTACTTCCCTCAAACCTCCAATACAGTCCTCAGTGTCCCATGCGTGTCAGTGGGTATTGGAACACATTGATAGAAGGCTAGGTATTACATTGTAGAATTTTTTCTTCTCAGCATTTGCCAGATATTTTTGTTACCAATTGCTGATTTAGCTCAAATGTCACAGTACTTTGGTAGGAATCTAAATATTTAATTCTGTGTGACCCACATATAGAATCGGTTAATTTCCAACCTTACTTTGCACACCTTTGTGTAAAGATCATCAAACTGTCTTCAGTGTTACTATACAATGTTGTTTTTCCCAGGCATTTATTTTTAGCATGCAAAATGGACGGTGCTTTCTTGATTGGTTTTCCATACCATTTATCCATAGTTCTGTTCCATTTCTTTTTCTCCATGGTCCATCATTTGTAGCTCACTAAATGAATAGACAACCAGCAATGATGTTCTCTGAATGCAGTATTTTGTGGTTTTTGTGGGCTTCTCTGTAGCTTCTGTTGCTGTTGTATCTGATGCTACTGTGTTTCTTCATGGCATCCGTTTTAGATCAAGGAGGGAAATGTTGGAGCTGAGTATGAGAAGACAAACTTAACTTTGCATTCCCTACTTATAATAGCAAAAGAGCAGGCTATTTTTCTTAATAGCAAGCACAGAAATGTATTGCGTGTATTTGCAGCACAGTTCTTGTTAACATTAATTTCAGCAATATTTCTGAGAAAAGGATGCAAATTCATTATCCAGAAAATGCAGAATACCACCAGTGTTCACCCATGAAAAGTGACTTGCCTGTGGATTCTGCAGAGGAAGCTGGGAGATATGCAGTTCTCTACTAACCATACCATGAGATCACCCTGCTCCCTTAGGTCCCTTGCCTTGTTCACTATGTTCCTACTTCTGCAAGAAAAGTACATCAGGCCTTACCCAGCTGCATTACTCAATGGTATTCATGTCAGCCTGGTGCATAGAAGGTGGCAAAAACCCGAAACCTGAACCTGTCAGATTTCACTGTAATCCAATTCCCTAGGCACAAGCAGTTGGCTTCGCTTTCTGGCCTTTGCTTTGCACATTCCAACCTAAATTCTTTTAAGAGGTTAAGGTACATAATTTCATGCATACTTGTAAGTGTTGAATTAGATGTTTGTACCAATAAAGGCCATTAAATTTTTTAATTCCTTACTTGTTCTCTCTGAGCTTTCTCTATTTGTCGGCAGTAGCAGTTTTGCTACTGTTCTTTAACTTGGGTATTTCTGGAAGAAAGAAAAGAAATCTTTAAACCCTCTCATGGGAGTATGATGTCTATAAATCCTGAAGGTAAATTAGTCAGTACTTCAGTATACTAAGCTTCAGAAATGTTTACTCACCGATCATTTCAAAGACAACAGAATTCCTAGGTTGAAAACTGGGGGGAAAATGTCTAAACTTAAAATTACCAAAAATGGGTGTGTCATTTCCAGTCTTTCAGATCCTTAACAGCTAAGGTGATCTTGTTTTCTAATCCTGCTGCTGATGAGCTGCGCAGTTACAGTCATTGGTTAGAATTTACCACAGGACTGAGTGAGGAACTGCAGTAAACCCATGCTCAGAACGCAACATCTAGTAGCAGGTAGAGAAACTTCCTTCTTAAACCCCAGGCATGGGAAATAGTTTCTCTTCCTTTTTAAATTAACAAAGCATTTGCTCTGCTCAAAGTTTTAGGTCTGTAAACAATTTCAATGACCAGAAGCTTCTATTTTACTTCATTTCTATAGATAGTGTTGACTGTTTCAGTGAATACTAAACACAGGAGGAAAGCATTTTTCATCTTGGAGACTCTAGATCATCACTGTGATATTTCAGATGTCTCATTGACAGTAAATGTTTTCCCTCATTCCCCACTGAAATCTGTCTTTGGAGTGCAGTTTGAGTGAATGCTTGTGAAAGCAGAACAGACAACTTGAACTGTCAAGCCCCTCTGAATCCCTAAGGGCTGAAATGCATGCTTGATTGGGATCCATAGATCAAGCTATTGATTTGGAGTATGTAGTGTCTGCAGTACAATATTGATTTGGAGTATGTAATGTCTGCAGCACCATATTGATTGATGTCATTGAGAAGCTTCTACAGAACTAAAATGAAAATGGAAAGTGATTTTTACATTCTCTAAGTACTGTTTTTTTTAATTAAGTGATTGTCACAGCCTTTATTTGATCAGGAAAAAACTGCTTCTGTTTATATTTCCCCACTGTCTAGCTCAAGTGAACACAGAGATTAAGGATTTTAAATGTTAAAGAATGGACAAGCAATTTTTGAGTAATTGCTTCTTGTGACTTACACAAACAATTGTAGTTGTCCATGTTGAAGAAGTTGTGGCTGCAACTAGAAAGATTTTTTTAAAAAGCTTTTAAAGACCAGAGTCTTAGATCTTACAATGTGAGGGACACCATTAGATTAACTACAAATAATAGTTTACAAATGTTACTGTCTACAAAGTACTTGATCAGAAATTTTTTAAGAACTAAGTTCAGATGCAGTAGCTAATTAAATTTCACTGTAGTCTTTCTTCTCCTGTATCTTAGGTCAAAGCTGACTTAGGGCTTGTAGTAGAGCTCGCCAAATATCAGAACCTCTCTATCGGAAAAGTGGAATTATAAGCTGACAAGGGGCAGCAAAGGAAACTTTGGGTGCTAGCAGTTCATCAAACAGCGGGCATGGCTGTAGTTAAAGTGTATGCCAACTGATTCAGCTTCTAGGCTAAACTGCTCAGTTGCTAAAATAACAGAGCAGGCTTTTTCTTCAAACAAAATTATTCTGGCTTTACTTTTCATACCTATATTTTAATTTCAAGGGAAATTATAGGAGTATTCATCGTACTTTGTAGCAGATGATTATTGTTTCAGAGGTACTGTTGTGGGTGGCACAGCCCAATGTGATAATTCCAGCATAGGAAAGCCTCCACTCTAATGTAAATTAGAACTGAGGTGCGTAAACTCAGTTCTGTGATAGGAAATGCATAGCAACATCTTTGTAGATGGATCTAAGCAGCCTTTTAAACATAATCCCAATACTTGTAAATGGTGTTTGAAGTCTGTTTAATATACTACAGTAAGTTATTGCTCTTTCCTTACTATAATCATTGGAAAATTGCCATTCATTCTTATTTTACCATTTGCCTGCTATTTATTTAAACTGGGGATCTGATAACCATTATTTAAAACTAATCTGTTGTTGGCTGTTACTATGCATGATTAGATTTTCTGTGTAGAAATAAGGCTGCTGTCTTATCAGCAGGCCTACTGAACTGTCATAGTTCACTAAACAGGGTATTTCTAACCAAGTTATACCTGTGAAAACTGATTTCCTGTAGGTTGCCTGTGAAGTGAGGGAACGTTTCTGGGTTGTGACAAAGATCAGCATACTGATTGTAGCTCAGGGACCTATGAAACAAAACGGCACGCTAGGTGTTTTCTTTTTTCCACTTGTTTAAGAGTATGACTGTCAGACTTGTGGCAAGCTAGCTCTTGCAAGCAAAACCTAGGAAAGGAAGTTCATTGTCTCCTTCTGAAGTCTCAACTTTACCCCCGCTTCCTCTAGCAGCATTGCTGATGAAGGAGTTGCTGAGCAATTATTTCCTTTTCCAACAAAGAACACAAATTCCCTCCTGGTCTCCACAGCCCACTAGGTTCTACTTCCCCTCATGCTTGCAAGCAGTGACAATGATCTGGCCTTTGATCTTTGCACCGCAAGTGCTCTCTGACATTTTTCCGCCCCATGTATTTTTCCATTTTATTGCTGTTTCCATTAGCACTTCAGCTCAGAAGCTTTGATCCCTCATACCTCTTTAACTGTATTACTTAATTGTGAATATTTATGTTGATCTATTGCTTTCAGAAATGAGCTGGTACAGGATATTTTTTTTAAAGGAAGATTCGGTGGAGGTGATCTCTTTTTTTACTCCATTTGTAATGATTCTTGTGTTTAAATGCAGGTAGACAGAACCTGACAAAGTGGAACAGGCTGTTAGTTCTCTTGTGCAAGTTGCATGCGTGTGTGTTCCACCATCAGACTCCAAACTTTCACCAGTTAGCACTGACTTCCAGTCTGTTTGCAGTTAAAATGGGTTCAGATACAACACCCAGTTCCAAATCCAGTGTAATTTTCATAGTTATTAGTAATTTTTGTGTCTTTTTTTTCACCCTTCTTTGTCAGAGTTTTTTCATCCTTCTTTGCTGTATAAATAAACAAATTGAAGGATGACCAATTGATCAAATGGCTGTACAACAAAACCAGCGAAATGGGCCATTTGAAAAGTAATGCCAAAATAGATGAAGTGAATCTGGAAAAAAAAAAAAAAAGACGTTTTTGCTTTTTCTCTCAGCTGTGATCACCTTGGCTGTTTATAAAGTGAGAAAGAATGGAGAGAAGGTCCAAGAATCTTTAAAAGATTGTTTTGAAATAGTATGTGAAATATTCTTTGTTGGAGCTATGTGAAGTACTTACAGAAATGGGACCGTAATTCTTTGTTTCTTTACATCCTTCTCAAGTTTATTTCCACAGTATCTGTCATGGCATTTGTCCAAATAAAAACTATTCAGTTAGAAAAGTGCTTCCATCCCAGTTGTACTACCTCTAGTGAAATTTGCGTGTTGTCAATTTCTCTGATGCATATTGCATATTTTCTGGTAATTGCCACATAAATGCCATTGTTTTCAAAGACTTTCTTAATGTGTTACAGTTTGGCCACTAATGTCTTGCTAGTGTAAAAATGTTTTAAATGAAGGGCAAAAGAAACTTGGAATCTCTTTTTCCTTTCTTTTCTGTGTTGTAGAGATGCAGGTCACAAATGTCCAGTAGACAATGAAATTCTGCTCGAAAATCAACTTTTCCCTGACAACTTCGCTAAACGGGAAATCCTTTCATTAATGGTTAAATGTCCCAACAAGGGCTGCAGTATGAAGATGGAGCTGAGGCATTTAGAGGTGAGAATTAGTTTTAAAAATATGGAACCTTATTTTTATGGACAAGTAAAAATTCAAAATAACAACATAGATGGTCATACCTGATACGTGTTTATGCTGATTCAATGCATTGTTCATTCAAGACTATAGCTACATGTATTTGGTTTTTGATGAGTCTTTAATTGTAATTAAGGTCATTCTCAAGTGAACATCATAGTGCATGAAATTAGTACTAACGCAGCGTTCTCTTTGGGATTATTCATGTTTGTCTTTTGATCAGCTGCATCTGTACTTCACACAAATTCCCTAAAGTCAGTTTAATATTCCCTCAAAGTAGCTAGATGTATTAGTTGAAATAATTGTTTTGGAAAATAATATACAAAGTTAAAAGGATAAACATAAAGCTGAATTTTTACCTGAGAGCATTCTTAAAGCTCTGAATACATGAAGTCCTGATCTTAGTAATGGGACAATAACAGGCTGTTGGTAAAGTCAGCATAAGTGTATAAGGATTTGCTTGCAGGAAGAAAAGATTGCAATTTGTTTCTCTTGTACCATGCTTTATCTTGAAAACAGATGAGACTATAGTACTTGTTTGTACTATCAAATCCTGCTTTTGTCCTTGTTCAGGACCACCAGCTGCAGTGTGATTTTTGCACTGTGGAATGCCCACAGTGCCAAGGAGCCTTCCAGAAGAACCATCTGAAAGAGCACATGACACAGGAGTGTCCGAGGCGTCAAGTCCGTTGTCCAAACTGTGCCACTTCTATGGCCTATGAAGATAAAGAGGTACTTGGCAGAAGTCTTGGTTTTTCAACCTTCATTCACATGGGTTTACTTGCAAATGGAACATCAGTTTCAAAAAAAAAAAAAAAAAAGGGCGGGGTTGGTGATCTAGGAGAGCTCTTTGTGCTGTGCAGGTGAGAAGCTACAAACTCAGGACATTAGTCTAGAACAGGTGAAAGCTGGGGAGAGGATTGTGCTTAAATACAAACTTCTTGGGAACCCTGTGGTGTGAAAAGACTTATGTAAGAACCATTGATTTTTGGCCTTGCCATCAGAGAGGCCGTTATCTACTGCTGAAGTAACACACAAAGCAATATTTAGATTTACAGTTTTTATGCCTAGCAGAAGGGGTGTGTCAGGAGATGCAACTTTTGGGGATATCTGCTAACACACAAGACCAAGATAATTTCTGAATCTTCTCCTGGCTCTGCATTTTTTTTACTTGGGTGATACTGAGGATAGTCCTTTCCTTTTTGAGCTTCCATTTCTTTATCTGTATATGGATGTGTTTTATCTTGAGGGCTATTAATTTTATGATATCATATTGTGAATTGTCACACAAAACCACCTGATATAGTCCAACAATACAAAAAAACCTTTAATATAGTTGCACTACAATTGAACATGAATTTCAGAAACTTCTGGATATATTCAGACTCCTTTGGAGCTTAAGAGCTTTAGGAAATAAAATACCTGCAACTTTATGAATCTCTTGTATGATTCCAGGAAAAAACAGTAATTATAGAAAACATACTATTCAGGGTAAAGGGATTGTCTTTGTTTCACAGTTGCATACAGCTAAATGTAAAATTTGAAATGTAAATAAAAATTTAACGTCTTATCAGAGGTGATGAGCACCCTCTGAAATTGTGTAACGTTATTGATTCTTTCTGTCCTCTCTTTTTCTGTCTTTTGATAACTAAGCTTCATGACCAAACCTGCCCACTCGCCAATGTATTTTGTGAATATTGCAACACAGTGCTCATCAGAGAGCAGGTAAGAGACTACCTTTCTCTGTGTTTAATCTGGGTCAGATGTTTTGTATTTACATTGCTTCTTTAATCTGAAATGAAACTTGAAGAAACAGTTTGTCTGCTAGCTAATAAATCTCTACCTGTCTCTGTCTGCAAATGTTGCATCCAGTGCAGGTGTAATACTCTCTTAAATGCTGCTCCAGTTCACAAGTGCAGTCTGGTAAACCTCTGTAGCATTTTTGGCTGCAAATCACATTATTTAGCTATAGTGCTTCTTGACAGGAGCCATGCTGCATGTTTTTGAACTTGAATGGAGGCTAAAGGATACCAAGCAGCTGCCAGTGGTTATGGCTGACATCAGAAGACAAGGCTTTAATTTGGGCAGAGAGGGAAAAAGTATTTGTAATTGGAAAGCTGCTGTTGGAAAGTAGCTATAAATAATTCACTATCAAACTGTAGATGCTGGCTGGAATTCTGCTTGTCCATTGCTGTTGTAATAGCCATTATTATTTCTTCTATTAAATAACTTACTTCATTGACAGGAAAATGATTAATGTCATTTAATTTGTAGCCTGTCTCTGTTTGAATGGGATGCCAACTATGTTATGACCTGGGTTAATATAAAGAATGATCTTGTCAAATTGGAGAAATACTCTGCAAAAACGACTGAGTTCAGTAATGACAAAGGCAGAAATCTGTTGTTAGGTAGAATAATGAACTGCAAAAATAGGGAACAGAGAATGCTGAACTAGGTGTCCTGGTTTTGGCAGGGATAGGGTTAATTTTCTTCCTAGTAGCTGGTATAGTGCTGTGTTTTGGATTTAGGATGAGAATAATGTTGATAACACACTGATGTTTTAGTTGTTGCTAAGTAGTGCTTACACTAGTCAAGGACTTTTCAACTTCTCATGCCCTGCTAGCTTCTTGCTGACAGGGGGCATAGCCAGGACAGCTGACCCAAACTGGCCAAAGGGATATTCCATGGTGTATGATGTCATGCTCAGTATATAAACTGGGGGGAGTTGGTTGGAGGGCAGCAAGCACTGCTTGGGGACTGGCTGCACATCGATCAGTGGGTGGTGAGCAATTGCATTGTGCATCACTTATTTTGTATATTCTTTTATCATTATTATTATTGTCCCTTCCTTTTCTGTCCTATTAAACTGTCTTTATCGCAACCCACAAATTTTACTTTTTGGGGTTTTTTTTCCCCAGTTCTCTCCCCCATCCTGCGGGGCGGGGAGTGAGCGAATGGCTGTATGGTGTTTAGCTGCCTGCTGGGTTAAGCCGCAACGCTAGGTGATGATTTAGAATTAACGGCTGACCTGTATTAAGCTTGTATTCTCCTTCATCATGATATTTAAACAAGGTAAACATACTGGGTAATATAAACAGGTATTTTGCCTGTGAAACCCAGAATTATCCTTTGCTCTATTTAGGGCTTGTAAGGCCTCAGCTGCAGCTGTCCAGCTTTTGAGGTGGGGATGAATAGGGAGGATCCAGAGCAGTGAGATAATTGTGTCTGGAAAACACAGACCATAAGAAAAATTGAAGTAACTTGAGCTTTTTGAGGAAGAGGATAATGAAGAGAGACACAACAGGTATGTACAAGTAATGCTTCAGAAGGGAAGGAAATGGAGTGTGATCTAGGTTGAGGATAGGCTAGAAAGAAAAGGCATTTGTTCTAGCAAGAAAACCTGAATGCGTTCTGATGCCTAATGTAAGAACAAAGGCAATGAATTGTTAAAGTATATACAAGGAGGATGTAGAATTTCTATCATCAGCTAACATTTTTGTTCAAAACTTCCATGTTTGAGAAATTATATAGGTATAAACTGATCTAACTTCAGGTACCTATTCAGAGTCCATTCAGCTGTATTCTTTTAGGATGTTATAAAAGAATACTCTTGATGGCAAAATTAATTTCAAATCTGATTTGTTTTAGATGCCTAACCATTATGACAATGATTGTCCCACTGCCCCGGTGCCATGTTTTTACAGTGCCTTTGGGTGTCCTGAAAAGGTAAGCCTTTTATCAGAATCATGAATTGCAGACCTTCTGCATGTTTTTGTTGGGTGGCTTTTTTAATGTTTTCCTATTCTTGTCTCATTCACCAGCCCAAATCCTCAGTGATCTGTGGGTTTTTTTGTTCTGAGGTATCTTAATCCTAAAACACTACATGTTGGTATATTGCTTTTCAAATTTAAAAAAAACTACGTGAATGATTTGCTTGACAAACTTGCTTTTATTAATCCATGAGTGTTTTCTCAGCTTTCATGTCAATAAAGTAGCTTCTAGCATTTCTTCCAAAGTTGAGACCAAATATAGTTATGGATGGCTGAGTTCAGTGAAGAAAACCTGACAGTGCTTAAATAATTTTAGAATTTAATCAAATTTAAATCTGGATACTCTTATTTCTAGTTGTTTAGTACCTCTTTGGAAAAATGGATCTTTTCCCTTCATCATTTCCACACCAGTTTTCATACACCTTTGTATTTGGTACTATGGAACATTTTAGCAAATCGATGAAGGGAATACAATGCTGATTTAGAACACAGAAAAAATACTATATGTATGTTTATCACTACCACTTTTTCACCATGTCACTATTTTGAGTTGAACAATATTTGCCCACTGGCAATTGAACTTCTTTCATCATTTGTCATAACAGTGATCTTAAATTTGGAGCCCTCCATTGGTAAAGTGCTATTTTGTCACATCAAAATCAAGGACATCACAGGTCCTTGATTCACATTCTAGTTTTTCCTCACATAACAGAAGCAACTAAGTTGTTTGATTTTCCTCAGAGCCACTTTCAAGATGTGATTGTAGATAATGTTTGATATGTTCCTAATGCCAAATATCTTAAATTCTAGATGCAAAGGAATGAACTGGCACGACATATGCAGGAGTTCACTCAGGTTCACATGAGAATGATGGCTCAGAGTTTGCAAAATATCAGTGTTACTGCTACAAATCCTGTACCCTTCATCAATGGCCTACCCTTTGAGCCTGCCCTCTTCTCACACGTGTCACATGCCGCATATGATTGTAATCCAGAAGTTGAAAATTTCAAAGAAACTATTCAGCAGTTGGAAGGTCGTCTGGTAAGACAAGATCACCAAATCAGAGAACTCATTGCTAAAATGGAGACTCAGAACACTCACATGGCAGAACTCAAACGTACTATCCGGAATTTGGAGGGAAAGATTACTGAAATGGAGGCACAGCAATGTAATGGTATTTATATCTGGAAGATTGAGAACTTCAGTGGACTTCAGAAAGCCCAAGAAGAAGAGAGACCTGTTGTGATGCACAGTCCTGGCTTCTATACTGGAAAGCCTGGCTACAAGCTGTGTTTGCGCCTGCATATCCAATTACCAAATGCTCAGCGTTGTGCTAATTTTATATCTCTGTTTGTCCACACTATGCAAGGAGAATATGACAGCCATCTGCCTTGGCCTTTCCAAGGCACTATACGACTTTCTATTTTGGATCAATCAGAAGGCCCTGAAAGGCAGAATCATGAAGAAGTAATGGAAGCCAAGCCAGAGTTACTAGCCTTCCAGAGACCAACAATTCACCGTAATCCAAAAGGTTTTGGTTATGTGACTTTCATGCACCTGCAAACCTTGAAACAAAGAACCTTCGTAAAGGATGATACCCTTCTGGTGCGCTGTGAAGTCCTAACGCGTCTAGATTTAAACAGTCTCCGCAGAGAAGGATTTCAAGCTCGCAGTACTGATGGAGCTATGTAGCCTGTAAGTCTTAACCTGAGGAATGGAGCCACTAATCATGTTCTTCCACCACAGAATACAAGCATGCTTCATCGTCCATATAGGCTGCGTTTGTAAAAGATCATAGCTGCCAACATAGTTGATCTTCACCTGAATAGAACTTTGTTGTTGCTGGTATACTTTTTTTTCTGTATGAGGTCATGTGTTCAAATATTTGGTATTGTTCTCTATTAAAGTAATAAGCTACTTCTGTAGCAAGCTAGCTAAATCGAGTGTTGTTAATCAAAACTTAACTGCCTACACGAAAATCCTGTTAAAGTAGCTGTACATCTCAGGTTAGTAAAACTTAAGTCATATCAGAATAGACCTGTAAATCTTTTTGCCTCAGTGCCTTGGAATAGATACTGTAGCAGGGAAATAGCTAAATTAATAAAGATGAGAGGGTTGGTTGGTTGTTTTTCACAGAGCTTGAGAAAGTTGAGACAGTTTCTATATTGACTTATCTAGAATTTTGAATTGGCTGTGCTTATCTTGACATCTGAAGTCAGGTTAAGACTTTGTTCACATCACCTAGGGTTGAGGTATGCTTTGACCCTTCTCTCCTGCAGAGTTAGCTTCAGGAAGTTGCATGTCGATGTAGGGTTGATACTAGTATTTCTGAAAGATATGTGGTAGTGTTGTAGAGAATGCTAAATAACTCTGAGCTGAGTTCACTGAAGAAATATTTGTAATGTGGTCTGAAAGTTCCCCCCTAATTCTCTTTATTTTGATAAATCTTTTTGTAAGTGTGTGCTCTGAGCCCAGAGTGTCAATCACCACCACCAGAGAGATGAAAGTGTAGTATTTGAATGAGATACTTTTGTCCTGGTGGGATCTCCTCCTAGTGCTGGACATTTTTCAGGTTGTGAGTGCATACATGAGCAAAGGTATGTACTAACTAGATAGGGTGATGCAGAATTTGTTTTACTGTTGTTGAAACCTGAATTTGTACCAAAGCTGAACTTGTGACCTGCATCTGTTCAAGTGATCTCTTGGTGTTCTGGGTGACGTATGACCTATGTCATCTCCTGCGAATTCTCAGTAGACAGCTGGCCATATCAACATGCAGCTGTCGTGGGTATTTCCTGTCCCATTAGACAATAGAAGCTGGGCTACCCTCAACATTTTGGAGGGGAAGAAAAGCCTATTAATTAGACAACGTGAAGAAAAATTGCAATCGTGTTTGCTCTTAGGTAAAAAATCTGGCTTCCATAGTTACTCATTTACCAAACACTAGATTCACTATGTCAAGAATTCATGAGCTTCCTAATGTTGTGTGTATTATTGTTTTCTGTACTGATTGTTTCTATGCCATGTAAATGTTGGTTTTGACCAGTCAAAGCTGAGTAGTTCAAGTTCACTGGTGCTAAGAATTTTAACTTATCATGGTGCTGATAACTTTCTGATTCATAGGCTTCTCGCTAGGAATTCAGTGCTGGGGGGGGGGGGGGGGGGGGGGGAAGTTTTGTTCACCCCATAACTTAAGAACACAGTCTGATACTGAAGAAAGAACTAAGCCATACATAAGCATATGTATATTATTTCTCCAAGCTAGTGAAACAACCTAGAGACTTCAGACACTGCAACTTAAAAGGTACAAAAGAGTATTCCAACTGTTTGGCCTCATCAAAGCAATCACATGGGGATTATCAGTGCATATGCTTAATATATACAAGGCTAATGAAAGACTACTATAGTGTATTGATTTGGGAGGATACTCTGCCTGCATGAGATTAAAAGTTCCAGGACTCAGCCTACCACTTTGTTCATCATATCCAGATGAGTAAAATTTATTTTGCAGATAAAGCCTATTGGTTGAAGAGGGAATGTGTTCAATGGAGTATTGTCACTACTGAAACATGAACTTCCTGTCTAATGGTAAATGCAGTCAGTCGTTGACCTATTTAGTGTATTCTGTGTGTTTAGAGGACAGGTGAGCATATATTAACTCGAGACAGGAAAAGATCCATGCTTTAAAACTGTCGTCTTAAACCTCTTAAGTAGTTTTTATATTGAATAGCCACAACCTATTAGATGAATTGTTTCAGAGTGTCTTCAGTTAGAGCATTCCTAGTAGTTAAACCATTCTTATCTAAAAGCTTTTAATGTACGTGACAGTGCCAAGAGCCACTATATGCAGAAGGCACCATATGTTAGTTATCGATGTTTCTCCAAAGACTACCATTCTCCTCTCTTCTTTTTTTTTTTTTTTTTTTGGGGGTGGGTGGCAAGGGCAGAAGAAACACTTCTAATCTGAGAGCTTCTTCCTGCTACAGTTCCTTTCTCAACCCTAGTGATATTAACAAAAATGTCCTTATTCTGTGTTCTAATAGTTTATACCCAAGACCCACTAAGTGCATTAATATTTTCTTTCCTTTTGAAGCTTTGCATTATGAACTGAATTTTTGCTTTGAGCCTTATCTGCTAGATCTGATATACTTCTGCCTTGGGAGGAAACTCAGTTTGGTGGCAGGTTCAGGAGTTTAAATGATTCAGGTTAATATTGTACAACAGCACAAACCAATAAGGAATAGAAAGCTACTGCATGTATAATACAATAATATGAATGCTTTATTCACTGCTGCTGTTCTACTGGTTTTGTGTTTTAATATTACCAAGCAGAACTCTGAGTGATGCCAAATTACTGTAATGCCAGAGTTTTACACAAGAGGCTTTCAGAGCTAATTTGCAAAGTATCAGTTAAATCTTTGTCATGAAAAATTATAAACATTAATTAAATGTTTATTCATCTACTTGTTCCATTTTCCTCTTTCTTCCCCCACCCTCCAAGCTGCTTTTCATTTTAACTGCAGTTCCAGAGCTTTCTCTTACAAATAAGAACATCATCTTCAGCTCATGGAAGAACTTACGAGTCTACATTGTTACCATCTCAACGTATAGTCTTCATGAATATTATCTTTTATTCAAACTTTTCTAAGGTTAGCATGAAGAGATTCAGTTTCTATGTGAAAATGTATTTTCACTGAAACAGCCTCTTCTTTTCCTGTTCCTCCAAATCTGATCTCCTGAGAAATTGCTTTACTTAAACAGAAGCAGGAAGTTATGTAGTGTCAAGAGTTGTCTCTGAAACAAATATGAAGAAATACAGGGATTTAACCAGTTTCCTGTGTAATTTCTTCAGGAATGGGGTTCTTTAGTTGTGTAACTCTTGATGCTTTGTGGCATTACTGGATCTCAAGGTGGTTTAGAAAGTGGCTTAGCTTCTTTTATCTTCCAATTTCTGTGGTCTTGAACATGTTTTAAGTTAGCTACTCTTAGTATGTGTATTTGCAAAGCTGCTATGGCACAAGTTTTCCAATTATAATATATTACAACTGTCTTTTCTTCTTGCTTCTATCTTCCCCTGCAGGGCAGGGAAAAATGTTGGTATGTAATACATATGTGGGAGCTCTGATAATGTGAGATGTACAGACCACTTGTTTTTTAAGTGGTATCATGATATGCCTGGTCATGTTTGCTATTGAGGGATTAAACTTGCTAATGAAATAAAATCAGGGTGGCCTTTCTGTTATTATTTAGAGATACTTTCACATCAAATGTATTGATGATGGATGCAAAAGGTTATTCTGGGGTCAGTGTTAAAGGTTTGTATTGAAATGAAAGAAAGTGCTCCTGTTCCCTTAGAAGTATTGATAGATTGTTTAATATATTTTGTAACTAATGCACAGCTATATTTCTGGCAGGATTTTGAAAAATAAACTAACTGAACTGTGCACTGTATGTTGCATCTTTATTCATATGGGGGCTATTCAAAAAGATTAACTGATACAGGACCTTTGTGGTAGCTCCTCTATCTTGCAGGTTTCAGAGTTGAATGGTTTTTAATGAAGGAGACCATGTATCATATAGAATCAAGAAGGCAAAGAATATATTTCAAGATAAATCTTCTGTCATTTATAAAGGGTAGCAATAGTTTTATTCATTACTAGAAGCCAGAGCTAGTGTAATTGATAACAAACTGTTCTCATGATCATCCTGTAAAAGATGCACCTCTGAAAAATACTGCACACCATCACCTCTCTGGCCACATTCTGCTTGCTTGTTATATTTGTCACAAAAACAGCTATGGGTTGAATCTTTGTTGCAAGATACTCAGATCAGAATCCAAAGGGAGTAGATCTGGTTTTTAACAGCATCTACAGAAAGGGAAATCTTGATCTTGGACTCCATGCCCTATAGAGTATATAATGTTCAAGACCTTCAAATTCTTCTGAAGAAACTTAGTGGTATTTACTAGGCATAATATCTAATGCAGTGCAGTTCATGTCAAGTTAATTATGGCTTTATCTTTCACCCAAATTGGTCCTAATAGCTTCCATGAGTAACGGATAGGAAAGCATGCTCAGATACCAGTATCTGTTGTGTTAATCCATTTTTAATGCTCCATATTTTTAAGTGCACTAAAATCTTCTTTTGATGAGATGAAGTAATAATGGCCTCTTTTTAAACAGGAAAAATAGGCACATGCGGCTGCACCTATGAATAGAAAGTCAACATGCAGAAATAGAAGATGCCAGCAATATAAAAGTATGTTCATACCCATGTAAATACAAGTGTCTCATACCTGTATATTTCTGAAAAACCTTGGCTAGATGTGGACCAGGATATTCTGACTAAATATTATGTTGGACAAATACCAGTTCATTGCAGTGACTTCACAGGAAGAAAGTGTTTGTTTTGGCTAAAATCCTTACTAGTGCAAAACCAGTTGCTCTGCTGCCTTACTCATCTCCAAAAAGCACTAGCCCAGCACTAAGGCTGTTCCATCTGGAAAGAGAAAAATCCTTGTGCAATTCCTTACTACTCTATCCTGGGTGAGTACACACAGTGCTAGACTTCCGCTCTTCTGTGCTGCATCTCTTGTTTAGATGCTGTGTCTGTTTAGCCTCTTTCAAGATAGACAGAAGTCAACAAAAATTACTAAATTAGCTGTGATGGGGGTTGAGTATGCTATTAACGTG